ATTGTGGTCTAGTGGTTATGACGCTCGCCTTGTCAGCGAGAGGTCGCAGGTTCGAATCCCGTCGGAGGAATTTTATTACACAATGACTTTTATAGGACTTTATTCGTTGAAAAGCTACAAAAATCGAAGAAAGTTTGATCTAACAAACTGTTTTGGGGTACCTAATTGTTTGTACACTCCATGTAAGAAACAAGTAACTGCAATGTCAACGCCTCTGTTCTTTTGATAAGCAAATTGATTTTCATGGAAATTACCAACTACATTTTAAAATCTATTCAAAAATATTCTTTAAATGCATTTCATTACATTTGATGTTATCGCAACGGTTCGGAAATCTTTAGGTTTAAAAGTTTATTTTAGGCAAGATAGTTCGCACAGTATATTAAAAACTGACCTTCATTAGACATAAAAACAACTTTACAACATCAATTTCAAAACAAGGTGAACAGAAAACATCGAATTTAGAGGAAAAATTCAACTGTCAAAAAATGCCGAGTGTATCGCCACAGAGCAGCGCCACCAATCTTGCGTTTTGATTTGAAAAAAACACGAGATGTAAGGGCCTACTTCTACGTTTCAAACACCATTTACTTTTGTAAATTGTTTATTTTAATGAATGTTTTTTTATATAAGTTTAGGCCTAATTTTATTTTTTAAAGGTTTGCATGGTGAGTATCACTAATAAAATAATTAAACTTTTAGTACATTATGGGTAATAATATCATTTTTTGGGTAAAACCACTGCTTAATATTGTCTGGACATTTCAGTAAAACTGCTCTGACCGTCATCAGAAGAATAAGTTAATTAAAAAATATATACTTACATCGATTATATTTACCATCCGTTCCATTCTTAGATCAACACTAAACTCTTGCAATATTTCGGAAGCTAATAACCCAACAATCCTAATAAATATATCTAAAATTGCCAAGACATTCCGTGCGTGTACCTCCTGAAATACAAAATATTAATATTAAGACTTGGGCCTCAAGGTATTGTTGGCTTTGTAGTATATCTAATGATTAGAGGTATGGTAGACATTTTCATTCGTTCGTTCGTTCTTTCGTTTGATCAATGAATGAATCAATTAATCAATCAATCATTTATTTATTTATTCATTTAATCATACATTCCGTCTGTCAGTTCGACCGCAGTCTATCCATCCATATCTATTCATGCATGTCATTCATCCGTCCATGCATTTATCAATGCTTCCACAGATACATGCATTTATTCATGTATCCATCCATCCGTCCGTCCATCCATCCATCAATTCATTTATTTATTAATTCGATAACGGGTTAACGTAATATTCCAAAAATAATTAAAGGGATGTTATCGACGTTCGAGTCGAAAGCCATTTTCGTTAAATTTGGAATAAAAACTTCGATAACCTGGCAGCTTCCACTGGGGAACAGTACACCAATATTTATTACTTACCCGCTGTTTCTATATAACAGCATTCTGCATTTTTTTCCGTCTCCCTGTTTTGTAAATAACCCTTTTAGCAGAAATAGTTGCTTTATACATATTGTTTTTCAGTATAAAATATAATTATCTAACACTCATTAGCATCTTTAAAAAAAATCAGGCAGCGAATCTGCTTCCTGACGCCAGACTATCGGTAGATGTTAAGAGAGGTCAACTTTGGCAAAAATTAAATGCATTAATGAATAAATAAATAAACTATATAATTTTTTTAAAATAATTCTAATAATAAATATCTGTCTCCATGGGTGCCTGGTGCATAGCCGCCTTTTGAGCTGGCCTGTCGATGATAATGATGAGTGGCTTCCACAGTAGAAACCTATAAACTCCTTCACGCTTCACAGCAACAAGGGAAAAATAATCAGCGAGAGCTGCTTGGGCATTACAAGCAATTAGATTCGTGGCAGCTCTAAATTTGAGTTAGATTACGTACTTTGAAGATCACAATTGGCCGCCACGCACGTCATCAACTCGCGTACCTATCATGGATTGATTAAACGCTATACAAAATTATATATTGTACGAGCACAAATATATCAAAATAGAAAAAGGACAAAATGCATGCTGATAGTATGGTTTGCTATGTAATCCAGTTAGATTTTTGTGCCAAAATGGATTTTATTGGCTTATTTTATCATTTTTGGTATGCTGAATCCAGAAAAAAATTAGGTGGCATTTTTTAATCCCCGTCATCAGCCGCTATTCTGATTTTCATGGTGGCTGACGTAACATAATAAACATCAAAATTAACACTCACGTGTCTGGTGTCATTAGAAAGGTAATTATACTGATCGATTAATCCCATTATACCTATATCAAATAATGCATATTTACAGAAATATAGGCCAATAAAAATGTCACATGACCACTTAAGGTCAAAAGGTAAGAAAGTTGTCATGTTTGGTATCGTTGGAAAGCTCTCCTATTATTCATTAATGTTTTACAGTACAGACATATCAGATACTGAGTACTTTATCATATTCGGCATCATTTTATCGGGTCTATTTTAAAACAGGGCTACCAATGTCTCGCGACGTTTTACTGGGCGACGTCCAGCTAGTTCGCAAATTTCTTTTTTCCAGACACATTTATGCATCAGCAAATTCACTGTTTGATTTTACTATGGCAGTTTCGACGGAGTCGGAACTTGCGAACTTGTAGTGTCATACTTACTAATGTCCGAGCTGCAACACTAACAATTAACAATTCACTATCTGAATTTCCCTCCGCCATTGATTGCATTCGTTGTAATGAGAGCAAGAAGTTTGTGAATGGCAACGTCTTGGGGGCGTGATGACGTATTAACTTGACCTTGGCGATCTTTAAGATTTGGCAAAATCGAGAAATGGAGCA